CGGATCTGCGGATTGGGGAGGATAGTGGATCGGACTCCGATCCATTATGTTCAATCCGCGGATCTGATCCATCCTGCAAGGATCGTTGGAGGGGGTGTCACTAAGTGAATAAAAATGTCAATAAAAATAAGACCTACCCGAAAATAAGCCCTAGTGCAATTTTTTTTTTTTTTTTTTTTTTTTACCTAAAATTTATATAATAGTGCCTTTTTTTTTTTTCAGGGAAACCGTATTTCTGAGAATTCCGGCCTGAGAGCAGAAATCCTCCATATTATTGCATTTTCTATGTATGCTGAGAAACTGACCTTTTTTGGAATATTTTTCAGCCATGTAGGGTGATGGCAACTGTCAGTGGGTATGTAACTTTTTGTATATGTGTCGTTAAAGGTTTTTTTTAATACCAGTGCCATTATTAGAGTAAGGCCTAAAAAATTGACTTCAGTATAGTCAGTCATTAAAAGGATAACTTAATCAAATCGTTAAAATTCAAAGTGTTAAAGTTGATTAGAGAACTCATCCCCTTGTCATAATAAAAGGACATCGTCGATATATCGTCGATGGACTACAAGGTCTGGCCAATCCATTGAATAGATTAGGTCCTCTTCCCACCTGGACATAAATAAGTTTGCTAAGCTGGGAGCAAATTTTGCTCCCATTGCAACACCAGTTGTTTGCAAATAAAAATGATTGCTAAACCAAAAAGTTATGCTGCATTGCAAAATTCAATCATTCTAACAGGAAATTTTTTTGCCGTGTGGGGATGTCTATGGCTGTGTTTTAAGTAGAAATCCACCGCCGCCATACCATCTGTATGTTTTGATGTTACTATAGAAGGCTGCAATATCTGCTGATACCAGGTAGGTGGGGGATACAATCTTGACATCTTTAATACCCGTTAGTACCTGTTTTTAGTGTCTTTCAGAAAGGCAGGGGTGATAGTTACCAGTGGTTGAAGGAAATAGTCAATATACTCCCCAATTCGAGAGCTAAGTGAACCAATCCCACGGACTATGGGTCTCCCTGGGGGGTGTACGGGGTCCTTATGCACCTTAGTTATGCAATAGAGGATGGGCAATCTTGGAGCCACTGGACAGAGAAAATCCTTTTTTCTTTATTTGTTACATCATCCTTATATCCTTTTTTTTAATTTTCTTAAGCTCCTTTTTAAAAGGAATAAAAGGGATGTTTTGCAAGAGGTGTGTAAGTGTCTGTCTTCCAGGATTTTATACACTTTTGTGACCATGTAGTCCACTTTATCCAGAACTACCACTACACCCCCTTTGTCGGCTGGACAGATAACCAAATCTTTATTTTCTAAAAGTGCTTTTATACCTTCATTAATATTATTGGTTATTTTAATTTTTTTACTTTTGAGATTGTCCAGATCTTTTAGAACCATATTTCCAAATATGTTAATGTGGGAATGAGAGGGGGGTTAATGAAGCATTTTTTAAATTCGAAACTTTTAAAACCACTATTCATATTTATTATTATTATTATTATTATTATTATTATTATATTATAATTATTATTCAATTCCCGTGTAGGGGGGTTGCACAAAAATCTTTTTTTAAGGGACAGTTTTCTAGTGAATTTATGGATATCTATGTATGTATGAAATTTGTTCAATTTAGACTTGGGGGCAAATTTTAATCCTTAGTTTAAAAGGGCTAATTCATTCTCAGAGTGGCTTTACTTTGGTATGAAATTAAAGATTAAAGATGCCATTAGTGTCTAAAGTTTTTATTTTTTTTTTTTATTTTTTTGTGTCCATTGACCCTCTTTCCCCCTTGCTTTCCTCTATTCTGACACTCCTTTTTCTTGTAGGGCCTTTCCCTAAAAAAAAAAAAAAAAAAAATTATTCTGGGGTTGGCCTGACTTATTCATGAAGGGGTTAGGTTGCCTAAAGCAGTTTTCCTCCATTATTATGGGGATGTGTATTCTCATAATTGGAAAAATTCCTATTCTGGGCATAGCCACTGTGTTGATAGGGACTCTACCTGGTGGGTAATCAAAGTTTGTTACCCCTATTTCTAGAGGGAGATGGAGTGTAAGTGTGATAGTCTATTAGTCTATTATTACCCACATTGTGGTGGTTATATCCATTATGTTGGTTGGAGTACTGATTATGGTTCTCATTGATTCCTCCAGGATTCATTTCTGGACCTGGATTCACGGCTGTAGTGTGGAGTAAAAAAAATCACTCGAATCACTTTATTACATCTGATATACATTTATTTGTTCACTTTACTATTACGTCAACTTTGGACGATTCACGTTATAGTTGATCACTTATAGCGCTACAAGGCGCATGCACTATTTTTCACCTTTTTTGTCTTTTTAGCTCTTCATGTCTGTTTACATATTTATTTAGAGAGTAAGAGGTTTCACCTTTTTTATGTAAGCGGCTTGATACCTAGCGCTCGCTTGTATCCTTTTTACTATGTCTCCTATAAATGTCTTAAAAAAATATGGCCGCTACATCCTGAAGAAGCATGACTCAGTTGGTGAAACGAGTTGACTTCACAGCATCGTGAGGCCCGCGTCCCCGGCTTCCAGGTTCTCTTTGGTGGCTCAACCATCTGACCACCATGCACCATCTGACACTCACAATCTGGTTCCCAAAAGAAAAATGGCCACCACAGGACAGAGTCATTCCAGCAGTACAATAATGCTACAAATCATCATATAATTAAAACAGTGGATTCAGATACACATCTCCGGGCAAACATACCAGTACATAGGGGCAACTAAGACCCCATATAATATGCAGTATATGTGCCAGCGAGCCAAAGTACCCAAATGGCAAAACAGGAGAAGAGGTGGTTAATAAGCACACATGACAGGTTACCGAGAAATGGGGAATACTCCAATGGGAGGGGGACAGAATAGACGGTGAAGGGTCAAGAGAGACCTCCTTGCGTAGGAGGATCGTGTCAAAGGTCCCCCCTACGATTAGACAAGTTGAGTGCATAAATGTCCTTCACACGCAAGCCCGCAGGGGATGAATTATGAAATTTAGCAAAATGTTCAAGTACGGGAGTTCGATCATGTTCATTGCAAATGCTCCCTAAATGTTTACCTATACGCACATGTAATTGATGTTTTTGTTTATCCAATATATATTACCACAAGGGCACTGGAGCATGTATATCACTCGTGTAGTGGCACAGTTTATAAATTGCTTGATATGAAAAACTTTGTGGACATCATTGAATCTATCTGATCAACGTACAATCCAATTTTTTGTTGGTGTACGCATGAATTCTGATTTAACTAGATTATCCCTCAAGTTCATTGCTCATTTAGCGACCATAAGAGGTCTGGGGCCTACAGTCTGCGATTCAGGGGACTGGATAAGAATATGCCAGTGCTTGGTGTGAATTGCACGTACCGCCTCCCATTGGGTCCCAAACCGGGTAATGATGCGCATAGGAGACTATTCATGGGAGGTAAGATTATCAGTACACGTGAGCAATCTTCCCGCTTACATTTTAGAGGCTTTCGCTTTAGATCGTCTAAGGATACTATGGGAGTACCCACTTTCCCGGAATCTGTTTATAAAGGTCATCTGCCTCTTAATCATCGTCACGGATACAATACTCGGGTAGGCTGTGGCATTTTAAACAATGCTCATTTGTTACTAAGGGGCTTAAAGTGGGCCAAGAAAATGTCCCCCCACACCATGACACCATCACCACCACCACCAGCCTGAACCATTGATACAAGGCAGGATGGATCCCCCTCACCATGACATCACCAGCCTGAACCATTGATACAAGGCAGGATGGATCCCCCACACCATGACACCACCAACCTAAACCATTGATACAAGGCAGGATGGATCCTTCCACACATGACACCACCAACCTAAACCATGATACAAGGCAGGATGGATCCTTCCACACATGACACCACCAACCTAAACCATTGATACAAGGCAGGATGGATCCTTCCACACCATGACACCACCACCACCAACAGCCTGAACCATTGATACAAGGCAGGATGGATCCTTCCACACCATGACGACACCACCACCACCAGCCTGAACCATTGATACAAGGCAAGATGGATCCACCACACCATGACACACCACCACCACCAGCCTGAACCATTGAAAAAAATTAAAACATTCAACTGTTATCTATAAAACAGTTAATGTCTAGTTCAATGTTCAAACCATGTGGGGATAGGGACCATAATTCTACAATCCTTTTTAGTCTCCATCATTGACGCTGCCTTGCGTTTATGTCCACCCCTCCAATGAGGGTTTAATGATATCAATGCCTATAAATTTTAAACAAGCCTGGTCCCTGTGATGAAAATCCCTGAAGTGTTTGGAGAGAGAGTTCTCTTTGAAAGCAGAGTAGAAATCCTCCATATTATTGCCTTTTCTACGTATGCGGATAAACTGCCCTTTTTGGACTATTTTTCCTCCATGTAGGGTGATGGCAACTGTCAGTGGGTATATAGCTTTCTGTGTATGTATTCTTAAAGGTTTAAACCAGCAGGGTCCCTGTGATGAAAATCCCTGAAGTGTTTGGAGAGAGCGTTCTCTTTTGAAGCCTTTCTTGATAAATATATATATATATATATATATATATATATATATATATTCTAAGTCCCTTTTTTTTTAGTCTCCTTGTAGTTCTTCCCACATACTGTTTCTTGCATGAGCATTCTTAGAGATAAAACGTGTACTATTACATGTGATCAATATATCAATGTTATGCGATTTTTCCCTGAGACATTAGAAACGTTTTTCATTTTCTTATGAATACCGTTGCATTGGCAGATCATGTATCTGTTGCAGGGGTAGAATCCTTTCATACCAAAGGAAAAAAACATTTGTTTAGGTGGATCAGCAATATTAAAAGCTAATGTATGTCTTGAGGGGACTTTCGCTCTACCAGCTCGGTCCAACATAGGACACGTCGGGACAAAGACCGTGAAAAAGGCTGCTCGGGTCATCACTGAAAAATACACCCGGCTGGGCAATGGCTTCCACACCAACAAGCGCGCATGTGAAGAGATCGCCATCATCCCCAGTAAAAAGCTGCACAAGATTGCTGGGTATGTCACACATCTCATGAAACACATCCAGAGAGGCCCTGTCAGAGGCATCTCCATCAAACTGCAGGAGGAGGGGAGAGAGGAGGGATAACTATGTTCCTGAGGTATCTGCCCTGGATCAAGAGATCATTGAGGTTGATCCTGACACCAAGGAAAAGTTAAAGTTGCTGGACTTTGGAGGTCTGTCCAATCTGCAGGTGACCCAGCCCACTGTGGGAATGAACTTTCAAAACGCCACGAGGGGGTGTTTAATTGTATCATTTCCAATAAACCTTGGGAAACCCCCCCAAATTAAGAGGGGGCTTTCTGGAATGTTTCAGGGCGTTGTATGTTGCTCAGAATAGGGTAATTTTTTAAACTAGCCCAATTTATTTTTATAATTTTAGCAACTTCTTTGATAAATGGAAAAAACCTTTTCAGATTTTGATTTACCAGAGGAAAGCAAGTCTCTTCTATTCTTCGCTCCCACTTCTTTTGATATCATTGTTTTAATGTTGCTGCATCATAGCCTTTTTTCTAGGAATCTACCGTGTTTTCCCGAAAGTAAGACCTAGAGGTACTTTTTGATGTACCGCTAATATAAGCCCTCCCCTGAAAATAAGACCTACCTCCACCAGGAGCGAACTAACCATTCGGGCACTGCCCGGGGTCACTGCAGGGCCCCATGAGAGGCTTTAAAACGTACCTTTTTTTATGGAGCTGGTGGAGAGATCAGTTGGGTTGCAAGCCGATCCCTGCAGGATGGATCGGATCTGCGGATTGGGGAGGATAATGGATCGGACAATGGATCGGACTCCGATCCATTATGCTCAATCGGCAGATCCGATCCATCCTGCGGGGATCATCAGAGGGGGCGTCATCAAATGAATAAAAATAGTCAAAAATAAGAGGTACCCGAAAATGAGCCCTAGTGCATTTTTTTTCCATAAAGTTTATTAAACTCAGCATACAATAAATACAGCTAATACAAGGTCTCGGAAATACAAGAGGAGGTAATACACATAATACACATAAAACAAATAAAAAGATACATAGCAATACATAGGCAATGAATCAGACGTAAGTCATTCCAGGGAAAAGAAAACTGGAAAAATGAGGACATGCAAACGCAGGAACATTAAAGGCATATTATTTATTATACAATATTTATAAAGCGCCAATAGTTCGCTCAGCGCTGTACATTACAAAGGGGGACAGAACATGTGACAGAACAATACCAATACAATGCAAAACATGAGGGGATTGAGGGCCCTGCTCTTTGGAGCTTACAATCTAGGATATCTGGTCTCAAGCCCTTATTCAGCATATTGGAATCACAGCACTGGCAGGTCAATGATATATATATATATATATACCTCAGTTACCGAGCAGCAGCAAAGGGCAGGGCCAGTCAGTCCAAGGTATGTATTGGAAATGTATACAGTAGGTGTGGAGGGGGGGGTGCAAGGGCTTGTAGGATAGGGCCTTGTACTGTTGATGAAACTGAGGTAACCAACTACAGGTTGCCAGCACGTGTGTGTAAAAGGGTTCGGGAAAGGAGATATGTAAAAGTAAAACGCGTGCAGCTGGATTGCAGATAGGGAGTAGGGCTCCTATGCGTAGAGAAGTGAACCACAATGGAAAGGGGAGAATGAAAGCTAAACTGAGTAGGAAAGCAAGGAAATGGGGATTAAGAATTTAAGAATAAGCATGAAAAAGGGAAAATTTTTTTTTACCTAAAATTAATATAAGACCCTGTCTTATTTTTGGGGAAACGTGGTATTTCTAAGAATTCCGGCCTGAGAGCAGAAATCCTCCATATTATTGCAGTTTCTACGTATGTGGAGAAATTGCCCTTTTTTGGAATATTTTTCAGCCATGTATGTTGATGGCAACTGTCAGTGGGTATATAGCTTTCTGTGTATGTGTTTTTTTTTTTTTTTTTTAAAAAGTTTTAATACCAGTGCCGTTATTTATAGAGTAAGGTCTAAAAAATTGACTTCAATATAGTCATATTGGAAGGATAACTTTTAATCAAATCGTTAAAATTCAAAATATTAAAGTTGATTTTATAGAACTCATCCCCTTGCCATAACAAAAGGATATCGTCTATCGACGATAGGCTACAAGATCTGGCCAATCCCTTGAATAGATTAGGTCCTCTTCCCACCTGGACATTAATAAGTTTGCTAAGCTGGGAGCAACTTTTTGCTGCCATTGCAACACCAGTTGTTTGCAAATAAAAATGATTGCTAAACCAAAATTATGCTGCATTGCAAACTTAGTCAATATGCTCCCTAATTCGAGAGCTAAGTGAACCAATCCCACTGACTATGGGTCTCCCTGGGGGGTGTACAGGGTCATTATGCGCCTTTTTTAGGTAGGCAATAGAGGATGGGCAATCTTGGAGCCACTGGACAGAGAAAATCTTTTCTTTTTTTCTTTGTTACACCATCCTTATTTTTTTTTTTTTTTCTTAAGCTCTTTTTTAAAAGGAATAAGGGGAATTTTTGCAAGTGGTTTGTGTCTGTCTTCCAGGATTTTATACACTTGTGACCATGTAGTCCACTTTACATGACATAAACTTATATATAAAATCTATATATAAAAATCGAGCGCAGTGTATAGGTGTAAGTACGGTAGCTGCTTGCACAAAAAGGCACCTCGGGAACCTCCAAAGTAATTGATAAAGAATGAGAGTGCAGCGCTAACCCAAATAGCGATTAAACATATGATAGACCACATATGATAGTGGATCAGTAAAATGTCAGTGTAAGTTCATCAGATGTGCTGAAAATGCATACAGTCTCCAATATGTAAAGAACCAAAAGTAGTGACTTTCAGAAATGATAATAGCCAAATAATGCACTAACCGGATAGCGCATATTAAAGCGCATGGAGCATTTAAGACCTGCCCCTGGTGCTCAGCCACTGTATCACTGGAGCCAGGAGATGTCATCTATAGGGTGACCACTAGATGTCATCTATCCGGATGGAAGCTGAGTCCAGCCACTGTATTAGAGGATCAGGCGGATGTCATCTATAGGGCGACCACTAGATGTCATCCGTTCCAGGAGGAGCTGTGTCATGGATCCAGGGATGTCACTTGCAGATGTGTCCTTTGCTAAGCACAGCCCCAGGACCTTCAGAATTACAGGCTCCCCAGAAATAAAGAGCCCGTGGAAAAAGGCCTCAAATAGTGTGATATCGTTTATTAAAGTAGGTAAATAATCAGAAAAGAACTTACTAACAACGGTTCAGCTGCTCATAAACGGCCAGACCAGAGGTACATGTACACAGGATATAAATAGCTTGGCACTTCCCTAACGCGTATCGTGTGAGTACACATCATCAGAGGGACTGTGCCAGTGGTAAAAGGAGTGTTTTTATACATAAAAAAAAGCGCCAAAATACACCGCAATGCGGCGGCGCCGTTATTGCCGGTTCGCGCATGCGCATAGCGTCGCGGTAGCGTAGCGTTCGGGCGGCCATTTTTAAGAAGCCAAAACACATTATGGACATACAAGTGTTGGTTCAGCAGTAATCTTAGTGGGAACAAGATACTGCATTCCTAAATCAACACGGGGCAAGTGGATTAGCTGAAATTACACATGGAACATACTTAATGCCCCATTGTAACAAGAACAGCGTGGTGAAACAATATTAAAAAATATATTAAAACTAGAAAATACTAAGGTGCATCGACTTTTTACAGCGATTATAGCACTCCAATAGGAATGTACAGATAAAGGCAAAATACATAAAATGCGTCAAACATATAAATTAAAACCACTCTGGTTAAAAAGTAATATCATTAAAAATAATAAATTTTAAAACCAATGTACTAAGATTAAGGTGCATCAACTTATTGAAAGCGATTATGTTACTCTAGTATGAATACAAGTAAAGACAAATTACGTCAAACATATAGATTAAAACCAATCTGGTTTATAAGGTAAAATCATTAGAAATATTAAATTCTAAAAGTAATAATGTACTTCAGATCAAACGATCGATCAGCTGGTATCGATGAAACAATTAATATCTAATTCTACGTTTAGTCCCTGTGGAACTTGGGACTGTAGAGAGATATATCCATTTGGTCTTTTTCATGGAGACCGCTCGTTTTTTGTGGATACCCCTCCAGTTACTTTTGATGGTATCGATACCCACAAAACGCAGGGAATGTGGATTCCTATTGTGTCGCTGGCGGTAATGCATAGACAAGGAGTGCTCCTTGTAACCTTTCTTAATATTGACCAGGTGTTCTCTCAATCTGTCTCTCAGTCTCCTTGTCGTTCTACCTACATATTGCTTCCCGCAACTACATTCCAAAAGGTAGACAACATAGGAGCTGTAGCATGTGATCGTAGACTGAATGTCAAAAGATCTACCAGTTGAATTCGAACAGAAACTTTTTATCGGGTTCTTGTGAATTCCATTACAAGTGCATATCATACATCTGTTACAAGGAAAAAACCCTTTTCTATTTAGAAAGTCAAACGTGAGTTGCTTTGGGGGATTGACAATGTTGGGGGCTAGTCTGTTTCCTTAGTGAAGCCTTAGTGAAGGTGCTTTTCTGTAGATGATTTCTGGATGCTCCGGTAAGGCTTTACACATCACCGGGTCACTCTTAAGAATGTTCCAGTTCTTCCTAATAATTCTGGCAACTTCTTTATATTGCATGACACCATAACCACCAGCCTGAACCATTGATACATGACAGGATGGATCCTCCCACACCATGACACCACCACCACCGCCTGAACCATTCATACAAGGCAGGATGGATCCTCCCACACCATGACACCACCACCACCACCAGCCTGAACCATTGATACAAGGCAGGATGGATCCCCCACATCATGACCCCATCACCACCACCAGCCTGAACCATTGAAAAAAATTAAAAAATTCAACTGTTATCTATAAAACAGTTAATGTCTAGTTCAATGTTCAAACCATGTGGGGATAGGGACCATAATTCTACAATCCATTTAGTCTCCATCATTGACACTGCCCTGTTTTTTTTATGTCCACC